CTCTGATTGGATGGATTAGTTCCTCATATTGCATAGCTCTGGTAAATCTAACGTTGATCATACAAAGATTGTATTGTCAGATTGCAATGTGTATGGTGAGGTATAAAATGGATGGAAACACATTTAACACAGAGCTAAATACACTTTTTTTTTCATTTTGGGTAGAGTCAGGGCTCATTTGCACAAGCTTTGCCCTCTGAAGAGCGATAGTAAGGGCTCGTTCACACTTGACTTTATTTCTAACTCTTGCCAAACGCCCCTATAGCGTTAGACAGGCGTTTGGGAAGCAGTTTAACGCTCCCAAAATGCCCTATGTGTGGTTTTGAGGCGTTGATAGGCATTTGCTAAGCGATTAAAACCTCACCGCAAACTCCTATAATGAAGTTAAATGGTATTAACGCTCCGCAAACGCCTGCCAGGCGTTTGCAGAGCGGCACCATAGACTGGAATGGGAGGCTTCAACTCCTCCTGACTGGACACGAGGTGTCGGTTTTGACGCAACGCTAACGCTTCAGTGTGAACAGCACTGTGTGCTGCCATGTGCAGAATTTTCATAGGCGTTTGAGAAATGTTAAAAATGCTTCCCAAACGCCTGTCCGACGCCTGCTGCCAAAGCTAGTGTGACCGTAGCCTAAAGGAGACGCCTACTTTAACCACTGCAGGCCTACAACACCATGCCGAAACTAGGTGCGTTGCACAATGTTGCGGCACTGCCCTGTTCAGTTGAATGGGTTGTGGCTGAAGTGCACTTTCTGTCCCATAGCCACAACAAGAAGTGAGAGAAAAACCCTTTCAAAGTGAGGTAATCCCTGGCTGTCACCAGAACCAGTGTCTCCATTGGAAGCTTTCCCATTCCTTCCTGTTTTGGTGACAATCCAAAATTTGGGAGCCTCTTTCACTTAAAGGGTAAATTCACCTTTTAACAAAAAACAATAAATTAACTTTTTTTTTTTTTTTTGCACGTAAAAAAAAAAATGTGCATTTGCTGTTTTTTTTTTTTTTTTTTTTTTTTGTTTCTGGGGCCTCTGAAGCATTGCACCAGCGATCAGCAGATCATTGGTGACATGTAGGTCTCCTGCAGACCTGTCAGTGTATCTGTGTGCTTGTACATTCCATACAGGCAAGCAGATACTTACTGACAGGAAGACTCTATGCACTACCACGGTGCTCCACAGTGCTGTGGTGGTTCCTTGAGAACTACAAGCTGACAGCTGCAAAGGCTGCTGGAACTTGTAGTGTTCTCATTCACAGAACACTGTGAATGAGTGACGTGTTTTGAAAATTGTGACAGCTAGTGGGGGGGGGAGATGCTAATTGTCACAATGTGGAGTAGGAGCTGGTCTGTTTGTTACTTGTTACATCCTGATAATGGGTGTAACATGTTACAAAAGGTGAACTTATCCTTTAACTAGTTGCTGACTGCAGATAGCTGAATGACAGCTGTACTGCAGCCGGCCAGTTCTGGGAGGGCGTCATCATATGATGTCCTTCCAGAATGCTCTCTCCTGCTCGCCCCAGCAATCTCTGTGAACGCTGTGTCCTATGGACACAGCTGATCACGTGATGTGGTAAAAAGCCAATCACAGCGGTCTTTTACCACGTGATCAGCCGTGTCCAATGACACGCTGATAACCGGGAAATGCAATTGCGGGTTCTCGGCTGCACTTTCCTTAAGCTGTCAGAGCATGAGGAAAATACTGCCGAGAACTGGCAGGTGCCAGAGCAGGGATCGTCACTGATAAGTGCCCAGCCACCCACCTGTGCCCAGCAGTGCCGCCCACCTGTGCCCAGCCACCCACCAGTGCCACCTCATCAATACACATCAGTGAAGGAGAAAAATTACCTGTTTGCAAACTTTTGTAATCAAAAAAGCAAATTTTTTGCTCCCTTTTTTTTTTTTTTTTTTTTTTTTTTTTTTTTTTATAGAACAAAAAGTAAAACACACAGTGGCAAGTAAATACCACCAAAAGAAAGCTCTATTTGTGAGAAACATTTTTTTAAAATGTCATATGGGTACAATGTTGCATGACTGCACAATTGTCATTCAAAGTGCAACAACGCTGAAAATTGGCCTGGTAAGGAAGGGGGTATAAGTGCCTGGTATGCAAGTGGTTAATTGTCACTATGACAAGTAAAGCACACAGAAATAAAAAGCTGACAAGTGTTCTTAGCCCTATCCACTCTTTCCAAAACTAAAAATAATTTGCCTTAAGTTATGCATTACTTTGTTTAAAAGCATACACCACCTTTCATACCATGTCTCATATTACACCAACATTCAAGCTGCTTTCACACTGATCCATTTTTCTCCTGCTTTTGCATTAAAAAAAGCGGAAGAAAAACCCGGGACCATGTATTCCTCTGGTACTCTTAACACTATATCGTTGTGGGTACGGTGCATTTTTAAAAATCTCATTTGCTGCATTTTTTTATACAAGTTTTGTGCAGTAAAATGCACCTCCCTATTGAAATCAATGAAGAATGCATCAAAAGTGTTTTTTTTGAGTCACATGTCATGTTAAAAACACAGCAAAAATGCAGACAGTGTTTAAAACCTGACAACTTAGCCCACTGTATCCAAAACTAAAACGTGACACTGGCCAGATGTTACACACCTGATAGCCCCATTATTCCAGCTTATAGCATGCAGAAAGACTTGCAGTCCTGAAATGTTAAAAAATGATTGAGGTGTTGGTAAGTGTCCTAAGAAAATATGTGGCCAAAAGGGATACTGTTTCAACAATTATGTACCCAGACAAGCTGCAGTTCTTACGAGCTTGCATTACACAGCTCGCTATGTAGGGAACGCAGTAAAGCCCCAATAGCACTTTTGTGGAGGTATGATCCCTGAAAATGGCCTGCACCAAATTCAAAAATCCCTGCCACTCATTTTGGTAGCTTTACCAACACATGCAGCAGATTCAGGTAGTTCTTAAAGGATAAGTTCACCTTTCATAACAGGTTACACCCATATTTGGAGTGTAACATGTTATGAATACATCGCTCCCCTACTTTGACAGCTAGCCTCTAGCTGTCAAATTAAAAAAAAAAAAAAAACGCAGCTCCACCGCCCGTTCGCGCCACTCATTCACGCTTAGCGGCTTTTGGCTTGTAGTTCTCAATGAACTACCATGGCGCTGTTGAGTTCTGTGGTAGTTCATTGATTCTTCCTATCAGTATACTCTCACCGGCCACTTTATTAGGTACACCTTGCTAGTACTGAGTTGGACCTTCTTTTGCCTTCAGAGCTGCCTTAATTCTTCGTGGCATAGATTCAACCAGGTGTTGGAAACCTTCCTCAGAGATTTGGGTCCATATTGACATGATGGCATCACTTAGTTGCTACAGATTTGTCTGCTGCACATCCATGAACCGTTGATACACGGCAGGATGGATCCATGCTTTCATGTTTTTTATGCCAAATTTTGACCCTGCCATCTGAATACTGCAGCTGAAATCAAGACTCCTCAGACCAGGCAATCTTCTTTTGTCCAATTTTGTTGAGCCTGTGCGAATTGTAGCCTCCGATTCATGTTCTTAGCTGACAGGATTGGTATCCTGTTTGGTCTTCTACCACTGTAGCCCATCTGCTTCAAGGTTCGACTTGTGCATTCAGAGATGTATTCTGCATACCTTGGTTGTACCGAGTGGTTATTTGAGTTACTGCTGCATTTCTATCATCTCAAACCAGTCTGTCTATTCTCCTCTGACAAGGTATTTTCATTCACACAACTGCCGCTCACTGGATATTTTCTTTTTCAGAGGATTCTCTGATGAGGAACTAGTGTCTCAGCTTCTCCACAAGGCTCTGCCCACCCAGCTACAAAATGTCTGTGTGACAGCTGCAACTGTGGGAGAGAGCAAAGCTACACTGAGAATGGAGTGCACCGCCACATGCAGTGCTTGCCCCCAACTGGAACATGAATCTGTTTTATGCACTGACATTTGTTGTGTGGAAGCATGGTGGAATTCTAAATGGTATCATAGACACTATAAATTCCCTTGTTTGTCCTTTATTCTGTTTGACAAGGGAGCTGTATAGTAAATTAGTCCCACCAGCTGTCCACTGGCAGTTCGAATGATGTTTGGTTTTTGGCAAATGCTACTAGTTTGTATTTACAGAACAGACTGTGTTGTTGGCAAATATAGATTCTCATTCATCATGACTGTGTTCTCTCTGATCTTTTCTAAATGCAATTATTGTGTTAATGTAGCTGATTTTCCCTTGCCATTAGTCTTTATGGCCGATTGCCCGCTTGCTCCACTAGTTCAACCTAAATCGGAATTGTCCAGCATTTCACCACTCATCTGCAAATATACAGTATATGCAACTTAACAATTGTCAATTTTAAAAGAAAAAGACAAACACAAATGAAAATCCATTTAAGATGTAGCTGAACCCAAAAACAAAAGTGTGATATGTTGCAGCTTACCAGCCCTGAAATGTGGGGGCTGCATTAGATTTCTTTTTCGTGCCTTTTCCATCTTCATTTTTACCTGGTAATCCTGAAATTCCTATTGTTTGTGCTTCTCATTCAGCTCACAGGAAGTCACATCACAAGATCAACAGGTGTTTTCTGTATTTGCTGAAAATGTTCTTCACTTGAAAAAATTTAAATTAATGCAGCCACCACATCTAAGAGCTGGTAGGCTGCAATAGTAAAATGTTGTTCTTGGGTTCAGTTATGTTTTAATGTTGACCACCTATAGCTGATCCTATTTTCATTGTTGACAGTAGGTATGTGGCATTATATTGCTCTGAACTGAAGTCTTGCCCATGCCTTCTGCTTCCTCTCTCTTGGTCAGTTGGTATGTTACTGGTTTCTTGATGTACCTTTTGTAAGATTAAATGCCATTACAGTCTTCTGAAGATAGCTAAAAGAGCCAGGCAGATTAATATAAGACTTGGATTGCAGCTGTTAAAGAAGCACCGTTCTTTATTAGTTAATTGTTTATTCAGGACTTCAGTATTTTGGTATTGATTCTAAATCTCTTAATTTGTTATTTAGGTGATTAAGCCACATGTTCCAGCAATTCGATTCCCAGACAGGAAGAATAGTCCAAAACCTAATGGTAAGCGTATATTACATTCCCCAATTAAGAACCAATAGAAGTCCTACATCTCCACATATGCTGACACTGCATATTTTAATATATACCCGCACCAGCCTAATCATCTTATCTGCTACAGCAAACACGAATGGTGCCACAATGTAAAGATTTTAGTATGCAGCGCTCAGTCTGCAAGCTATTACCAAATTCATACATTAAACCATAAATAAGGAGCTGTCTACAATTGTAGAGTGGGTCTTCGCTGCCAGATCCATCATTAAACCGCACATAAGGAAGTGGTCCATATAATACTAGTACAGTGTGTGAGATGGTGACCCTGAGAGGGAAAAAGTGGAGCAGTGAAGAGAGACATCCTTTCTTGGAATGAGCATTTATTTGTTGAACCACTTGAATAACAAGGGGTCAACCCTATCGGGTGAGTTCTTGCAGGTGTTCGAGGCAGGCTCATGATTTGGAGAAATCACTTGGGGACATGGTATGAAATTGTGCCATGGAGACACTGGATACAAAAGTGGCAGATTTAGAGTTACAGAGCACTTTTTTTTGCAAAAGACACACAGCACTTTTGAATGAACTTTATTTAAGCACTGGGCACTTTAGAGGATATTGCAGATTATGAATTGATGAGCAATTTTATTTTATTAATGATCTGGAATGTATTGGATTTGCACTTTTATTGATGTGTATCTGAGAAGGGGTTATTGCACAGAGTAAGCACAGATGTTGGTGCTTTGTATTTACCACATGAAATGGCATTGCATTTTTATTTATCGTTTACTGTATGACTTCAGTAATCGCTTACAGATTGAGCACTGCATACTAAAATCTTTATAGTGATACTGAATATTACCTGGAGTACAATGACAAAGGAAGTAGTGTTTGTTTCATAGACTAAATTTGGGTAAGACTGACGAGACCAATACGAGAGCTGCTCAAGTCAAATCGGGACCTTGAGTTTATATATTAAAAAAAAAACACATTTCAAGCCTCTGGAACTCACTGCCCCAATCCATCCGACTGTCGCCTTCCCTCCCCACATTCAGGCGCTCCCTCAAAACCCATCTCTTCAGGGAAGCCTACCCCACCCTCACCTAACGGCCATCCTCCCTCATTCCCCCTCAGCCACTTCATCCCCCTCAGCCACTTCATTCCCCTCAGCCACTTCCTATTGTTCCACTACCCCCTCCCTCCTAGATTGTAAGCTTGAAAGAGTAGGGCCCTCTTACCCCTCGTACGCTGTCTGTTTTTGTTGTACTGTGCCATGTATTGTCCCCCCTATTGTACAGCGCTGAGCAAACCCTTTGGCGCTATATGAACTCGATGTAATAATAATAATGAGTGGAAACTGCATTTATTTTTCAATATACTTCCCTGCTACATTTATACACGTATCCCAGTGTTTAATGCCTGAAAAGCTTTGGCATAGAAAGATTTGTCAGTACCCCTGAACCATCCTAGGACATCCTTCTGACCTCCGAGAAGGTGTAATTTCATGACGGGTTATGTGTCAGTTATCCAGGCATTGTACAGGAATGACTGCTGTGAGCTGAGAACCACCACAGCCGGGATCCTCACTGACGGTCCTACGGTTATCTTTGAAACATTTACACCATTCAAATTTCTTACTGTGACTGAGCGTCTCATCACTGTACTGTGCTTGAAGTCTCTTTTAGATATCCGCGTGGTTTTACGCCTTCATTCACAAGAAACTTCATCACCTCATGCTGTTCTATTCATGCACTAACACTGTTGTCTGCCATCTTGATGGTCTCTGGACTGGCCCATGACATGTGTACCCCCTATCAGTAATAGGACACACTTACCACTGCATGTAGTACCACCACTCTAGCATCCCTTTTTTTTCATACCTGTAAGTCCCAGTTTGACTTGAACACCCCTCGTGTTACAGAAGATGACAAAAACATTTGTGTTTGTTATAGTTTTCTTTAAAACTCATGTTCTGGTAAAGCATTAAGCAATGTGTTGCGGTGGCATTCATCCACTGATTGTGGGTGCAGTGTATTGCAGGCTCCTGTGAAGAGAAAAAAAAATGCAGATTTGTTTTTGTTTTTTTTTTTGTTTTCTACAGCAAAAATATGTGCACTCATTTTTATAAAGTTACACTTAGCCTTTAGTAATAGACTGCACAAATCATGTGGAATGTTACAAATGAGAGTGTACTTAGGTTGAGCTCTGTGTTTGGCTGAACCTGCAAGGCAGCTATCAGTGCTGGACCAATGGACTGCAGGCACCTGACCGAATATTTAGTGACAAATATATGTATCTTTAACCCCTTCACGCCTAAGGGTAAAACAAATCTTAAAGCCTAAGTAAAATTTTACAACATTGACATGTGTTAATAAAACTGTACATATCACAACTACTTTGTACATCCAGGAGAATTATACCTTGTTTTTTTTTTTTTTTTTTTTTTTTTTCAGGACAAATTGGGCTTTCATTTGGTGGTAAATGGTAATGGATTTCTCTTTGGATTTTTTTTTTTTTTTTTTTTTTTTTAATTATCAAAGGAAAACTGGCCCAAAATAGTAAAAAAACAAAAAATTTATTTTTTTTAAGCTATGTGTTTCTTGTTACTACCATAACCTACCACCAAAGAACAACCCAAAATAAATTTTCCAGCTCTTGACGATCACAGTGATACCATATACAGTATGTGTATGTTATTTGTTGTTTATACCTGTACTACAGACCAGAAACAATAGTGCGCATTTTGTTTTTTTTTCCTAAAATACACTGATACCGATTTAAAAATAAATCCTGACCTTGACCCAAACACTAACCCTGGCACTAAACTAGATCAAACCTTGATCTAGGTATTTTTCTTATTTTTGTAATATTGATTTTTTTTTTATATACAGTTTTTGGTTTTTTTTGTGTGTGTGTTTTTTTTTTTTTTTTTGTTTTCTCTGCAAGGAGATAGATACAATGTATCTCTCGCCTCCATTCAGAGAAAAAAAAAAAAACCAGGGGGGGGCGGGCTTCACAGTGACTGATCACTGTGATACCCAATCAGAGGCTAGCACAGCGATCATGTGACCCGGAATCGTGAGTCCCAGTGACACCCAGATCTTCGTGCTGGGAGCACGCTGTGCGGCGTGCTCCCAGCACAAAGACAGGTATGCAAGTATACGGCCCCACGGAAAAAAGCCCAGTTCTGTGAGGCCACATATTTGTGTTGCGTCGTTGTGAAGGGGTTAAAGTGTAAACTTAAAAATAAACTTCTGTTATATCTGTTCAGCAAGTGCAAAAATACCTGTTGGTTTTGCCAGAAATTTTGTGACCTGATAACTAGTAATTAAGTATCCAGACCATTTGCTTTGGAAGTGAGAACTGTGTTGTGGTCATGAGGAAGGTAGGAGTACCCTACGTTTCTGACACAATAGTAGTTATTTTTCTGTATTGCAGCATGTCTTGGGAGATAAACATAAGGAAATGTGTATGTATTCCAGAAGTGTGTGAGTGTGTGTGGTGTTTTGTTTATTTTGCCTTGACGTGCACTTTAACAGCAACCACCTCCAAAGTGTGGCAAAAACATGTAGAAAGGAGGAAAGGATGTTTACTTTTTTTTTTTTTGTTTAATGCATTTGCTTGGTGTTCCTTATTTTACCACAAGTGTTTATTACTTTCAGTGCAAGAAGCTTTGAAGTCTATGATTTATCCATTCACTACTCCCTCAGTCACAGCACAACAAGCTATAAGTGAAAATCCTCCCGGAATTTCTAATCCTGCATCTGTCCGCCGAGTGGTGACATCCCCAGACACTAATGACTTATTCAAATCACTTCCTCAGAAGTACAGGAGAAAACCTGTCTCCAGTGAAGAGATGGAGTATATACAAGTGAGGCATTAAAGCTTTATTACTGGTTTATATATTGAGGAACATTTCTCCAGTTCCTATTCTGAATGTTTGCAAGTGCTATGCCACTTTTGTTTTGTGAGTATCTACAACCAGTCTATGAATGTCTGCCTGCTGTTGCACATTTTGGCCAGTGTTATTAACTAGTTTATGGCACAATCAACACCGCAATCTGTCAAATAATTAAGAAGTGATGTGGATCACCTTTTTAACAGGTACAGTTTTCTGAAACTTCCTTCTTAGCTATTTTCAGCAGAATTTCTATCAGCAGCACTCATTTATTATAGATTAAATGGAAGTGTGGGCAGATAGAAACACTGTTGTAATACAGTGAACACATTGGGCCCCTTTCACACAGGCGTTCCGTTTGTCCATTTTTCATCCATGGATGAATGGATGGATGAAAAACGGACATCAGTACATCTCTATGAAAAAACGGATGTACTGTAAATAGATCTGCATCAATCAACATCCGTTTTTTGAAATGGATGAAAGTCCTATTATTTTTGTTCCGTTAAGAGGAAAAAAAAAAAAAACGGACGAAAAACCATATAGATCATTGGAGCGTCCGATTGGGTCTGTTTGAAAAGCAGACAGGTGGCCCTGATTGGTCTGCTCGTGTGAAAGGGGCCTTACAGGAGATGGTGGCACAGACATGACCTCATCAATGTGCTGCTGCTTCGTTGTTGTCCAATGGCTCTTTGAGCATTGCTGAGTCAGCCATATGATATTACAATCTCCACCTCAGCCAATCAGAGGAAGCCTTGTATTCATTCACAAAATATGAAGTCCCCATACCATAGCCAGAACGCAGCACTGTATACAGTAAGGCCCTCCTGCTCTACTATATGCACAAATGATAATTAAGAGGAGGGGGCTGCTAACACCCAACCATATACCAAATGGATATTAAGCAGATTATAAAATAGTATGGTGCAGCGTTACCCTAAATATTGCCGTACTTATACACTAGCTTAACCCAAAATAATTAAAATTGTACAAACCGGTTATAAAAATTCCAATTTAACTCATAGCAAACATACCTTATATGTGACTAATCATTCTCCTCAGTGTATTCAGCGGATAAATATGCCACTCATTCACCAATCATGAAGTGAACTGATCCACTAAGGGATCCATAGTAAGACGGAAAAGTGAATAAATATTGTAAATAAAAAGAAACACCAGTGAAAGCAATAAAAAAAAAAAAAAGTCCTAATAGAACTGCAATATTGTGAAATAAAAAAAATAGTGAATCTCTAAATGTGGGATCAATTTTCACTGTAACAATATAGTGACCACAAAGGCTATAAGTTCGCCAAATAAAAGTGAAAAATAAGTATAGAAATCTCTGAATCCCTAAATGTGGGATTGAATATCACACAGTAGTGACAAGTGCAGTGATAAAACACAAAATTATGATAAAAAATAAACATAATAAAAAGGATATCACAAAAAAACTGATTATAAAAAAAAAAACTTTTTTGAAATTGTCGCATGAAATAAATCCAAAGAAAAAGTCCAAAGGTGCGTAAACACCAAATATTCCAACGACTTTAGAATAGTGCAGATGGTAAAGTGAATATGCATGACAACCAATAGGAAATAATCCATAAACAGCTGAATTGCCCCCTTTTTTTTTTTTTTTTTTTTTTTTTTTTTTTTTTTTCCCTGGAATTGTTCAGCAATTTATCTTATGTTTCATTTCAGCGTGGAGGTCCTGAATGAAAACCTGATGTGTGTGTCTGCCGCGGCCAGAATTCGATTGTTACCAAGTGTTCCTCAAACTGTACAAATTCTAAATAATTGTAAACTAGAAGTTTAATAAAGAAAAACAAATCTCCACACTGTGGAAGCTTTTAACTTCTGCCTTCATTTGTAACTCTTCTATAATCCTTTTTTTTTTTTTTCTCTTCTGTAAGAAGCAATGGAGAAGAGTGTGTATTTACATTTTGTAATCCTGTAAAATTTATTAAATCTCACTATTTGTAATATGTTATTTTTTTTTTTAAATCCTTTAAGTGGAAATGTAAAACATTTCTTAGTTCCACAATGTTCACACAAAGGCATTTGTCAGAAATGTACATGGCTTAGACAAAGTATCAAAGAAAAGAGACCTTGGGTAAGAAGGAGTGTAGAGTAATAGTAATTTTAAAAAAGAATTCCATACATGATACAGGTGAAACTTGAAAAATTAGCATATCGTGCAAAAGTTCATTTATTTCAGTAATGCAACTTTAAAAGGTGAAACTAATATATGAGATAGACTCATTACATGCAAAGCAAGATAGTTCAAGCTGTGATTTGTCATAACTGTGATGATTATGGCTTACAGCTCATGAAAACCCCAAATCCACAATCTCAGAAAATTAGAATATTATGAAAAGGTGCAATATTCTAGGCTCAAAGTGTCCCACTCTAATCAGCTAATTAAGCCATAACACCTGCAAAGAGTTCCTGAGCCTTTAAATGGTCTCTCAGTCTGGTTCAGTTGGAATCACAATCGTGGGAAAGACTGCTGACCTGACAGTTGTGCAGAAAACCATCATTGACACCCTCCATAAGGAGGGAAAGCCTCAAAAGGTAATTGCAAAAGAAGTTGGATGTTCCCAAAGTGCTGTATCAAAGCACATTAATAGAAAGTTATGTGGAAGGGAAAAGTATGGAAGAAAAAGGTGCACAAGCAGCAGGGATGACCGCAGCCTGGAGAGGATTGTCAGGAAAAGGCCATTCAAAAGTGTTGGGGACTTTCACAAGGAGTGGACTGAGGCTGGAGTCAGTGCATCAAGATCAACCGCACACAGACGGATCCTGGACATGGGATTCAAATGTCGTATTCCTCTTGTCAAGCCGCTCCTGAACAACAAACAACGTCAGAAGCGTCTTACCTGGGCTAAAGAAAAACACACCTGGTCTGTTGCTCAGTGGTCCAAAGTCCTCTTTTCTGATTAGAGCATCTCATTTGGAAACCAAGGACCCAGAGTATGGAGGAAAAATGGAGAGGCACACACTGCAAGATGCTTGAAGTCCAGTGTGAAGTTTCCACAGTCTGTTGATTTGGGGAGCCATGTCATCTGGTGTTGGTCCACTGTGCTTCATTAAGTCCAGGGTCAATGCAGCCGTCTACCAGGAGATTTTGGAGCACTTAATGCTTCCTTCCGCAGACGAGCTTTATGGGGATGCTGACTTCATTTTCCAGCAGGACTTGGCACCTGCCCACACTGCCAAAAGCACCAAAACCTGGTTCAATGACCGTGGGATTACTGTGCTTGATTGGCCAGTAAACTCGCCTGAACTGAATCCCATAGAGAATCTATGGGGCATTGCCAAGAGAAAGATGAGAGACATGAGACCGAACAATGCAGAAGAGCTGAAGGCCGCTATTGAAGCATCCTGATCTTCCATAACACTTCAGCAGTGCCACAGGCTGATAGCTTCCATGCCACGCTGCATTGAGGCAGTAATTGCTGCAAAAGGGGCCCAAACCAAGTACTGAGTACATATGCATGCTTCTACTTTTCAGAGGTCCGATATTGTTCTATGTACAATCCTTGTTTTATTGATTGCATGTAATATTCTAATTTTCTGAGATTGTGGATTTGGGGTTTTCATGAGCTGTAAGCCATAATCATCACAATTGTGACAAATCACGGCTTGAATTATCTTGCTTTTCATGTAATGAGTCTATCTCCTCCATATATTTTCACCTTTTAAGTTGCATTATTGAAATAAATTAACTTTTGCACGATATTCTAATTTTTCGAGTTTCACCTGTATATTTTTACATGGCTACATTGGTCCAGTGCAACTTTGTATATACCATACCTGGCTGATACCCTTGGAAGCTGGAAATCGGTGGAGCAGACACCGTGTCTCTAACGATCGCCACTTGCTTTCGGGTCCTGTGCTGTGAAACCAACCTCATGCATTGTGAACACAGGAGGTCAGACACTCGGCACAGCTATTTTCAGAATGAATGCAAGGCATTTTCTGATTGGGTGAGCTGGAGAGTGGGGGAGTGAAGTCACACTCTCCAACTTGTCCATTCAGAGAATGCTTTGCATTCATTCAGAAAATGCAAAGCATTCTTTGATGCCTGTGCCAAGCGCCCAACCTCCTGTGTTCACAATGCATCAGGCTGGCAGCTTAGCACAGAACTCAGAAGCATGTGGAGATCACTAGTGTAGCAGTATCTACTTCAGCGATGTTCACCATCCAGGGGGATTGGCTACATATAGTATATATGTACTTCTATTGGTCCAAGCTGAATGAATGTAACTATGTAAAAATATACCATTCCTGAAATTCATCGTTAGGGAAACCTGTCACAAGACTCATTTTTGTCTGGTTTTGAAAAAGCGATGTGCCTGGCTGTTATGCTGACCCACTGGCTTCGGTGTTTAGAGTTACCAACCTGCAACAAGAGGGCAGTGAAAGCCAGAGAAGTGTCAGAAGTCCTGATTTGCTTGCTTGTTCCAGGTAGGTGATTCGCAGGGAATCAGCTAGCATTTTTCAGAAGGAAGGCAGGACAAAAACGGCAGTCTTTCAGGTTTATCTCATTATGGTCAGCCAGTGGAAAAAAATAATTGCAGACAGCTGGGGACAGACCTTTTTTTTTCCTGTCTGCACACATTGCAGATACAATTTCAGAAGGTAAAGTGGATATTTACATCTATTAGCTGGATTTTACACATCTATTAGCTGAAATAAAAGAAGTCTTCCCTCCCGCAAAACCACCCTGCAAGTCTGTGGCTACCAAGTAAAGACCCCTAAGTGAACCAGGAGTGGTAGGGGCAAAAGAAGCAGAAACGCAAGATGGATTAGCCAAAAAAAAAAAAACCCAAAACAATAATAAAAAGACACTCTCCACAGGTTCTAACAAATTTGCCATTTATGTGTGCTTTGTCATTCAGTGATAATATGATTGCAAACCTTTGAAAATTGCATTGCCACGCTAATTCCATACACATGGGACTAGTTCATATCATGAAGAT